CCCCCCCCCCAACCAGCTCCCATTTGCTGTTAATTCTCGGAACTTGGTTTTAACATCAGTGCTGAGATTTTGTATGCCCACTGATTTAGCTGATCCAAGTGAAGAAGGCTTTGGTCTTCAGTTTTCTTCCTGGAAGAAAGAATCAGAACTGGGTGCCAAGTGGGATATGACTCCTGAGTGACTTTTTCCAAATGCAGTGTGCTTTTAACCATTCCTGATGTTCTTGATTGTTCCTTCTTTAGGAAGAGGATCTTTTCGGCCAATCCAGTCTTCGCTGACTAAAGCTGCTGTGTCGCGTCCCATTGTTCCCAAGATTCTTCCAGCCCAAGCCACCAATCGTCTGTCCAGTACGTCTTCTTGTCTAAAGAAGAAAGTTCAGGCGTAGGATGTTTAGAGGAATGTTACTAGTTCTGAAGTAACTGGTTTTGTTTTCCCCCATGATTAGTTTTTGAAGTGATCATTATGTATATAAGTTCACCCAGGGCCCTGAATCCTTTTGAAAAAGAACCTACCTAAGATAATAATTCAGGTGAAATTGTTGACAGTATAGATTAAGGTTTTAAATATGGTTGAGAGAATGAAGCAGTGGAAAATTTTAGCTTTTGAGGTACAGGTAGTCCTTATTTAGTGACTGCCTCATTTAGCAACTGTTTGCAATTACAGCGGTGATGAAAAAGTAACTTTGCAACCAGTCCTTGCATTTACAACCTTTGCAGGTCTGTAAAGCAAAGAAAAGCTGAAGTAAGAACATAAGCACAGTCCAGTTTCACTTAGTGACCCCTTTGCTTAACGACTGAGTTGCTGGTCCCAATTGTGGTCGCTAAGCAAGAACTACCTGTACTGAATTGGTGAATTATGTAAATATAAGAAGGCACTATTAAAATGAAGTGTTTTCCTGCAGGGGTTGAAATAACATTGCAAGAACCTCAAGTTTAGTGTTCTGCCTTGAGGAAAATGACCTTTCTCACATTGCTCTGCTTTCTGTCCAAAGGTGCTATTGATCTGGCAGCTAAATCTGCCGGTATTATCCCTGGCAGTCCTTTGCCACTTCTGGGAACCGAAGGCTTGCCAAGCGTTTCTCCGCTCTCACCAGAGGCAGTAACCACCGTGGTTGGAGGTCAAGATTCCACAGTGGCACGTCAGAATGGAGGCTCCGTAGCTACAGTGGCGGTCAGTTTTCAGTCTTGCTAGAATGTCTTCCTTCTTCTAGAACCACTGGCAGCAACATTATCCAGTTCATTCTGATAGAATTTTGCTTTGGGCACAATTTGCACCAATTAGACTCCTCCAGACCACCAAGACCCCTTAAAAATCTTGACCTTCCCTGCTTCGCATCCTTACCCTACCCCACAGTCCCAGCTTTCCAGAAATGGCCCCCCAACCTCAAAAAGTTGCCCACCCCAATCCAGATGAACAGCTCCTCTATCATCTTTGGCATTAATGATCCTGTTACTCTACCTGGCAGGACAGTCATTCCTGCCCTCTGTAATAAAGGAGAAAGGCTCCCAGGCCAGCTAGCCAGAGATGTTAGTTCTGGTTTCTCTGAACCTCCATTCTGTATCTTCCCTTTTTATTTTATTTTACTATTTATTGGTTAGATTTATTTCCCTTCTTTTCTTCGGAAACCCAATAGGGCATATATCGTGCTCCGTCCTCCTGTTTTCCCCCACAGCAACAATCCTGTGAGTAGGTTGGACTGATAGAGTGATGGGCCCAAAACCTTGCGGAGCTTCTGTGGCTGAGGAGTGGTTAGAATATGGGTCTCCTTGATGCTAGTCTAGCACCTTAACTAAAGTACCACACTGACTCGTTTATTAGTATGTTCTAAGGTTCTGCTGTGAAGGAACTCACAAGAAGAATTTAAAATACAAATTCTGTTGTAAGGTATCTTTTGTCAGTTTAAATTCTGAAGGTGGGTTCCTTGGCAGACTGACTGCCATGTTTCTTCATCTTGGCAGTAGCAGGGCAAGCATGATAAAACATTTCCATTCCATAATTTCAGTGTCTCTCTTCCAGCCGCATGGCTCAGTCAGTCATTCTTGCTTCCAATTTCCAGGGTTCAAGCCATGAATGTCGGGTTCCTTTCCTTGGTCTACCATCCCAGCCTGAGCAAGAGGCCATTCCTGATGGCTTCCAGGTAAAGTATAACATTAAGTCGTAATTACTTACCCTTCAGAACCGATGGGGGATTCACACCATCACTGTGGTGCTGAAGAAGGAGGCTGTATGTACAACCAGTATTTGAGCCTCTTACAGCCTATTTTTAGACATAGTCTTTTTCGAATAGTCATTTTGGAAACTCTTTCACCCGTAAACAAAGAATATTGGTGAGGCGTTCATCTGAATCTTGTGTGAACTTTTAGAGCCTGTTATTAGATACCTGAACTCTTTTTTCCACAATCTATAAACACATGACATATGCTGGCCACTGTAAACACTGATACACTCATAGTTACAGAGAAGGAAGAAAAAATACTCAAGCAAAATGTGAGACTCAAAGATTGCAAGATGTACAATTTGAACTGCAAACAAGATGCAAGAATGCCATCTCGTTGTGAATTGCCTGGCATCCTGTAATCTAGACCAAGCTTCCCCGCTGGGTGCAACTTCCCAATATGTGGACCAACTCCGAGAACTTCCCATCCAGCAGAGCTATTGCTGAGAATTCAGGGCAATGAAGTCCATAAATCTGAAAGGCATCCATGTTAGATACTGGCCTGTTTACTTCTTCAACAGAAGACACTCTACTGAAATAAATGTTTAATTGAATAACATACATCAGACAAGACACTCATATAAATCCTGCCCAACAGAGCAGTGAGCTTAAATCTTGGGGGAGATCTGATTTTCACCTTGCTCTTTGACAGGGTAGATGGATTACTCTTCTCCAGATCCCACCATTTGGTGTAGCTGCCCCATCCACTTGGTTGTGTTGCCATCTGTAAAAGGGGAAATGATGGGTTTCTCAGGAGCAGAAAGGAGGAACGGATGGGGGATTGTAAGCAAAAGTTTCTATCACTGGCAATCTTCAGGGAGAAGTTACTGAACTATAGATGGAAAGACTGGTCATATCTAGCGTAAGGAAGCTTTTTGTATCCAAGAATGCATGTAGGATTGCTGACAACCTGATAAAGTTCTGGGTCTTCTGCAGCTTTCCATAAAAGCTTTAGAAAATTGTTGCTTTTGTTGTTGTTACTGTTGTTACTATTACTGTTTGCTTGCTACCACAGGGAACACCAGTCCTTTCTCTGCCAGAGCTGCCTAAAACATCTCTCCAGAATGGTCTGTCTTCACCTCCACTTGCCTCCTCTGAGACTTCCAGTACCCGTCTGTCTCCTCCCAATGTCTCTGCTCTCCTTGACATCTCTCTTCCTGGACCCCCCGAGGATGTTTTGTCTCAGGGAGAACCTGCTACTCAAATCAGTGATTCCATCATTGAAATAGCAATTAGCTCTGGCCAATATGGTAAGAGATAAAGAGAGGAGGCATACAATGAATGAATGTATGAATGAATGAGCTATCAAAGATTAGCTGTTGAAAAAAGTACCATTGGTATGGTTCAGCAATGGCTTTTTTTGACCTTGACAGTGCTCTTTCAGCAATTAGAATGGATGAGTGTTCTTTGAAAGCAAGAGTGGGGAACTTGTGACCTTCCAAATGTTGTGAACTAAGACCTTGGCTTCAGTTCTCCACCCTGACTTAAAGGGTGGTTGCATATTTTACACATTTCAGTAATATCGCAGTAGAATAATTTCCTCTCTCTCACACACACCCACACGTGCACATGTACACAACCCACACATAGAGAAGCAAATCAGCTGATGAAATACATGTGCAAACATGAATGATAACTGTCAATTATTGAACAAACTGAAAGCAGAGGGAGAGAAGTAAACACTAAGGCAAAACTTTCAAGAAACTGACAAACACTTACTTAAAGAGAAATGCCTTAGCGTTGACTGAGCGCAGAAGAATAAGAGTATGAGCTGGTGTCTTAAGGCAGGGTTATCAAAATACAAGGCACCATTTCAGAGAAATCCCTTTTGTTAACTGTTTGGATGTAAATGACCCCTGCAGATATTGTGTCAGAGTAGATCCTGTAAACACTTTTTATGAGCCTTGCCTAAATCACAGCGGAGGACAGATGAGATTTTGTGAGTATAATTCAAGAGGGTATGTGGCACTGTTTTCCACAATATTATACTTCCTTGAAATACACAGGGGTGTCTTTAAAGAAGCCTCTGTTTTAGTAGATCAAGCATACTAGATCAAATTAAACATTAAAGATCCCACACGCAAAGGATTCTCAAATGAGTGTGCTTCCCAGCGAATTATTTTCTGCATGCATTGCTTGGGAGAGACAGCATAATCTTCCCCACTGCTTCAGATCTGAAACAAGAACAGGGAAGACTAGAGAGCGTGAACAGCAACATTAACTACTGACTCCACAGTTCCGTGGTGAGGAGAAACTACAGAATAAATGGAGCTTGTCTGGACTGTGAGTTCATCTTCTCCGGCAGACAAATATGGGGCCACTTTCATTGCTCCAAGAAGGGGGAATTTGAGTCTCTGATTCTGTGTTGGCTGCTGGATCAAATTGGGAAGGCGATCGTTCCTTCATTAGCCAGGGGCCACTGCCAGGTGAAAATGCATGTCTTGGCTGCTTCTTGTTCACCCCTTTGTTTCTTTTCCATTGACAGGTGAGAACGTTTCTCTGTCCCCAGCCAAGCTGAATGGCAGTGATAGCTCCAAAAGTCTTCCATCCCCCTCCTGCAGCCCCCAGCAGAGCTGGATCGCCTCACCCAGCCATGATCCGCAGTGGTATCCCAACGACTCCACTGACTCTTCGCTCAGCAGCTTATTTTGTGAGTGCGGCCGCAGAGGGATTTACAATCCAGGGTGGTTGATATGACCCAGCTGGTCTCTATCTTTGGCTTCATAGCCTCTTGATTGTCAAAACCCGACTCGGAGACTACGTTGAGCAACTAGGAGACCCAACCATGGTGTTTTAAAATCTGAGCAAAGCAGCGGCCCATTTAATCAGCGCAATTTATTCTACCCCCACCCCCATCTTGTTGGTTTCTTTTCCTTAACACACAAAAAATAAGATCACTGGGATATCAAATTCTTTACTAATGCTTTGATCCCAGTTGGGAAAAGAACTTGGTTTAATTGGGCACAGGCTGACTGCTGCCTCTTGCCTGAAAGCGGGCTTTTTCTGAGGACATCATTGGACTTTCTGCCTTTGACGCAAAAGACAGAGATTGCTGTCTGACATCTCCATTCATCTGTTTTGCAGCAAGTTTCCTTTCTCCGGAGAAGGGCCGGAAAATGTTGCCCACCTCAGTGGGCAACCCAAGCAGCACCTCCTTGTTGGGACCTGGTCTGCTGGATGGGAATTCACGGGATTCTTTTGTCTCTCGGTCCATGGCAGATGTCGCTGAGGTACAGCCTGCTTAATCCGGGTCATCTGTTACAGAGCTTTTGGCTGGGGTGATGGCAGGGAGAGAGAGACGGTTTGGGGTAGTGGTGAAAGTGCGAGCCTAGAACCCAGGAGACTGGGTTCTAGGCCGGCCTTCAGCAGGAAAGCCAGATAGGTGACTTTGGGCCAGTCCCTCTCTTTCAGCCCAACCCACCCAACAGGGTGGTGGTTGTGGGGAAAAATAGGAGGCAGGAGTATTAGGTATATTCACTGCCTTGAGTTATGATTGATTGATTGGGAGGGAGGGATAAAAATCTAATAATAATGGAGGGATCAGAAGGTCTGGGAATTAAATCTTTGGCAGAAGAGTGAAGAAACTGGGCACATGTGGCCTTGAGAAGTGAGGAGGGGGGCTCTGATAGTATTTATCACATACCTGAGGGGGTGTTCTGTGGAAGAAGTCCAAAACTTGTTCTCTGTCCTCTCAGAGTATTGGAGAAGATCTCATTGATTTAAGTGACAGGAAGGCGGCTTCTGACCGAAGTGGTGAAGAGCTTCCTAATAGCACAATCAGTTTGACGGTGGAATCAGCTACCACTGGACAGCCATCTTGGAGGGGGCTAAACTCAATGGTCTTTTTAACTCTAGAATTCTCTGGAGCAGTGTTTCTCAACCTTGGCCACCTGAAGATGTGTGGACTTCAATTCCCAGAATTCCCCAGCCAGTGTTGAGAAACACTGCTCTGGAAAATTAGGGTAAGATTAGGATAAAAGTGGTTTTCTTCCCAGACAAGCTGCATCTGTCTTTTAGTCTCTGGACGATAATAACCCACAATTTCTGGTGCAGAAACCGGACCTTGATATTTAGTATGCATAATGGGATGTTACACTTCTCTAGCAGTTTAAGTGCTACAGAGAGGCAGTTTTTCTACTGTAGAAACAGTGTTCAAGTGTATTCTTGTCTCTTTGTTTCCTGGGGGAAAAAAGACATGATAAAATAAAGCCGCAGTCATGTTATTCACTAAAAAAATTTCCGAAGTCTGTCTGGACTTTTACAGCATCATTGCTTCCTATTCATTTATTTTTTAAATCAAATAATCTTAAAATCAGGAGGGGAAGGGTGTCTAGCTGGCACAAATGTGATTAAGAGCTAGTTTGGTGCAGTGGTTAAGATGCTGCACTAGAAACTGGGAAACCGTGAGCTAGTCTTTCCTTACCCATGGAAGTTGGCTGGGTAACTTTGGGCCAGTTACTCTCAGCCCAACCCACCTCACAGGATTGTTGTGGGGAAAATAGGAGGCAAGAGCATTATGTACACCACCTGGAGTTGTACAAAATAATGGTTGGAGGCTGTTGTTTTATTTTTCCTCGTGAGATGTTGTTATTACTTCCTCGTGAGATGGGCGATGACTAAATTTGAAATATAAAACATTATTTCCTGGCCCAGCCCATACATGTGATCGTTTGCATCCCTACCCTACCCCCAGCAACTCTTCTTCTTCTTCCCCCCTAAATGTTAAGTATAGCTATTGGCTAGTAAAGTTGCACGGTGCAGACTCATTATAACTAGTGTGCATTTGACCATATCCTCAATTCAGCTTCTGTCAAAGCAACGCTAGAAAGCTGGTCTTGGCAGAGAAGCCAATCATCCGTCTTTTCTTCCTCCCATCTTTCTTTGTAGGTGGTAGATTCCCAGTTGGCCTGCATGATGAACGAGAACAGCATAGATTACATATCTCGTTTCAACGACCTTGCCCAGGAGCTCTCGATCCCTGAGCCAACCCGCCGAGAGATTCTCTTTGACGGAGGGAGTGGCGGCCCCCCCATTGGCGACCTCTCTCAGTGAACGCATCCCACCAGCTGGCTGGTGGGCACCATTGAATTGGCCATAAGGTGGAGGAATGATGTCATAGCTATGCAGCTGATTGGTTTTTTTCGTTGTCCTGGCTGGAGCATGCTTGAGAAGGAGAGAGATTTTTGTCTTCAACCTCCTAAGGTTCCTGGAAAGTGCAATATGCTGGGAACAATACAACGTGGAGCAGTATTATAGGAAGTGACACGTCTAAGCTGGTGACAGGCCAAGTTTACAAGACAGCTCTGGGTTTATGGTCTGAGCAAGAAGTCCTACAAGCTACATTTTAGATAGAAACCAAAACCGCTGTTGGGATATCCACAAATAAGCTGAAAGGGGGGGTAAATAGTGGTATGTTTTGTTTGTGTTCCTTTTTAGAACTTTCTTTAAGATGTGCCTCTCTTGATCTGTCATGGTTGTCTTGTGGGCAAGTCAGTTGAACTGGTACTCCTTGCGCTTTCTTGTCGCCCAGTGGCTAAATTCCACAACGCTTTTACCAGAATTCTTTCATGGTTTCTTGCACTCATTAACATTCCAGCATGGCATGGGAGGGGAGAAAACCCTGCTTCTACTCCATCTATAAGAACTAGGATAGGGTCAGAGGGAACCTTGGAAGGACATAGTACTTACCCCGGTCTGCTCCTTTTTGACTGAACCTGCATACCTTCTTCCCCATCCTTAAAAGAAAAGCCAGCTGTCACCAAAGGGCTTCCATTTTTCCTGTAAGGGCTAGAAACCTTATTAAAGGGGCTCTGACTTACAATACCAGGTAAACCTGTTCATTCTTCTAGAAGAGGGTTTCTCAAACTCAGCAACTTTAAGAGATGTGGACTTCAACTCCCAGAATTCCCCAGCCAGCATGCTGGCTGGGGAATTCTGGGA